TCCTTCCTTCCTTCCTTCCTTCCTTCCTTCCTGCCTGCCTTCCTTCCTTCCTTTATTTTTCTGAGAAAACAGCATTTCTGTTATAGTTTTCTTCCATCTTGCCTAGTAATCAAAACGGAACGGTTCATTATTTATCTGAGGAAATGGCCGCGTGTAAGGATAATTAACGTACAAATTTAGGAAGAACTATCTGTATTATATGATTAGGATTTTTATAAAAAAAAATTCTGTTTACAATATTTTATTTTGTCACTGTACATTTCCTGGCTCTAGGCTTCTCTTAACTTCAAATTCTGCAGGCCCTCCATATCAAAATCAACCAACCTACACTTTAAACTTATTACGAATATAGCAACAATATACTAAAGTGCATATAACAGACATCTAATGCCATTTTACATTTTTACCAATTTCCGTTCAGCTTCCATGTCTTGATACGCTTCTTTTTTCAAAAAATCCATAGCTACAACGGATAAATTTAAAATTTGCAGACAACTATAACAGAGCACCCTATATTTTAAAAAAAATCTCACAGCGGAATACAGATTTTATTGCAGTTACATTAACTTTGTCTTTGTAATTCCCCGAAGATGATCTTAGAAAATGTCGAAAGTACTTGGGTTAACAAAAACTACGGCGCCTCCCTTGATAAATTTCATCTTAACATCACGAAACTGATTAGACAAGTGGAAAAGATCAGTATAAGAATAAGTAGACATATGTCTATATTATTCAATGAAACATGTTTGAATATGTGTGTGTGCGTATATATGTGTGTTTGTGTGTGTGCGTAACAAAAATAGACACAATAAACCAATTAAAGAAAGCTTCGACGAAAAAAGCTTCTCTATATTTTTATGAATTTAAAATGAATGATATAATGCCAAGGCTTGACATTTTAATAGAGCCAAATTCTCACAATTGTATTACTTCAATGAGCAGTAAAAAAAACACTTATCTTCTTAATGACACAAATTAATATCGTCACAGATATAAAATAGCTGTTCTGAAAAGATGATTAACTGATCTAAAATAATTGCTTTTCTCCCAGACATAATTTTCTAAAGAATTGAGCAATATTAAACAAGCGCTTAATATTTTCACTAATGAAGTTGTCGACTAGCAAATAAAAATAATTTTAAAGTATTTCAGAAAAAAATAACACAACCAATCATCCTGGCATAAACAAAAATAAAAACTTCATTAACAGTTGTAACCAGATGTTCTTTAACTATAAACAAGAGTAAATAACAATTAACTTATAATTCTCCAGAAAATATCATTTAATGATTGCAATAAATATCTCAGAGATATCATTCACTATAAAAAATTTAAGATATCTAACCTAATGATTCTTACATTGGCTACAGAAGGTCTACGCTCTCTCGTAGGTTAACGTGTCACTTATGAAAACTTTGCATAATTCGTACATTTACAATATTTATATTTTGTTTTTGATACAACGTATATATATATATATATATATATATATATATATATATATATATATATATATATATCAGCATGGCCCGGCGTTGCCCGTGCTTGATTCAAAAATCGTACGACTCATACAGCAATCGCTATCACTTGACTGAAAATATTTTTGCCCTTCCTTGCCTTTAAAGGAGTGCACTTTTCCGTGCTGATGTTGCTATATGCCTTACTTTTGCCTATATCACACTGCGAATTTTTTTCTAATCTCTATACTAAATATTAAATCTGTTACGAAAAAGAACTAAACAAAATGAACACAAAACGATCAGCTTTAAAAAGGACTCGTAACTGAAAAAAAAACCGAATGAAAAAGAATGTTAACAACAATTACTTTTTCACACCCAACCCAGTTCTGCGGAATCAGAATCAACGTTGAGTTTAAGCAAGCGAATGAGCCAATTGGAGTAAAGTGCCATGCAGATTTAAATTTTTCCCACTTGTGACGAATGCAGCTATCGATTTTTTTTTGCATGCTAGCATGCTAGTTAACATTCGTGTCAGTTAGCTGTTGGCTCTCATGCTGGCCAATAGAATCTTCCTGCCCATTCGTGACAGCCAACTATTGGCTCTCACTCTGGCCAGTACAAAAGGGCCGCAAACTACATGAAAACTGCCGTAGAAGCATGAAAAAAATCGATTATTTCCACTATCGATGGGAGTTGGGAAATGCAAAGTCGGTCTTGGCCTTCCCGTAAATTTTGATGCAAATCCGTCTAAAATTGCGGCCATGCATCCGTTACACACACACACACACACATACACACACACACATCCTACCTTTTATATATATATATATCTGTGTGTGTGTGTGTGTGTATGTTTTATTTCAATAATTTATCATCCATTGACTGATTTGAAAAGTCCTTGTAAATTTTATTTCAATTTACAAGGTGAAAATGATCAATAACCTAATGTATTCTTAATTCTTATTGTATAAAATATGTTGCGCTGTTTAATTAAAACATTCAGCTCTACGTGGAAATCAATTTTAATATTTTATATTTTATATTGTATTAATAGGATTCACTTGGATAATATACCAACTGATTATATATATATATATATATCCTTACACCAAAACAAGGACAAAAGGATAAATATATGTCCGCAAATCCTTCGTATTTTTATTTTTTATTATTATTTTTTTTTGTATTTTTTTTTAAGTTATAGGGACGTTATTTCGAACATTTCCAGACCTGCTAGACGATGTACCCCTGTTAATACGGACACGCATGTAATTCATGCATGATGGGACTCCCGCACATTTTAGTCCCATTGATCGTGATGTACTGGCCGACATCGACCATGAAAGATGAATAGGTAAGGGAGGACCGATTCCATGGCCTGCACATTTCTCAGACCACAATCTTTTGGATTTTTTATCTGTGGGGCCACGTAAAACAAATGGTTTATGCAGCAGACATTAATAACATAGAGACGCTTCATCAACCATTCGACACCGTGTCGGAGTATTTGAAATGGTCCGCCAGTCAATGATCCGACGGGTGCATCCATGTGTAGAAGCAAGCGGGGGAATTTTTGAACATTTGTCATGAGTTGGCATGTTGAGGTACAACGATGGTCGTTTGGACATATGTTGATATGGACATTTTATCTTGTTTTGGTGTCAGGAAACCGACCCAAAATTTGTAAAAGTATTTTTGATACACTCTGTGTATATAGTGGGCTATAAAGGGATGTTGCGCGTCAACTACCAACTTTCAATATTTTCATTTCTCTTTTAAATTTATCGACAAAGCAACATTAGATTGTGACATAGGGAATGAAAGGGCACACTGTGCTCCTGCCATTAACCGCCAATTCCATTGACTTGATGATAGAAAGCTTCTTAAAAGCCGACAGTTGAACAAAAGAAACAAGTGATTCCGGGCGAACACCACGGAAGTACCTATAGTAACGCACATCAGGCTCACGTCTTCTGTGATTGTCCTGGCTGTCAACGAGTGCTTTATAACATTCCACTTCTTCGCGCAGAAGCTCAAAGAAACACCATCGCCTTTATAATGCTGGGACCAGTGGTTAAAGCTCAGACCACCAGTGGCCCTGGCAGAACTCTGCCTTCTCCTACCTGGTCATCGTGACCCAAAAAGTGATTGTCTGAGGACTGTAAGGACACTTTCTAGTTCCCCTGATTTGAATATTCTGAACTAGAACAGTTTGATGGTGAAATAACATGCATGACAATTCCAATCCCTCGAAAGCCAACTTTAGTTTTTCCTAACAATGAACGGTGCCACTTTCAAAGAGGTTCCAAACTTTAAACGTCTGTTGGTCCCAAGTTCATTCCAGACTTCAAATGAACCTCATATATGCACTTCAATGTCTAGATATACTGTAAAATGGTTAGTTCGTTCTATAATTCTAGAAAGTAACTTTGCTTTATCTACAAAAATAGTCAGAGTAGAAATGCATCATTACTGCCATATATTGGTTGGCGCTGCTTAATCATCGCTCTCCACGCCTGAAAATCATTTACGCAGTCATTCGTGGTGTGTGAGGGAAAATTATTCTTCATTTTGCAGTCTCTTTCCCACATACGCCACGTCGGAACCCTATCTTTGCTCTTTCTTTTTTCCCACGATATAAGTTCAGACGCGTTCCGTTCTTTAGTTTCACCAGTTCAAACCTCTACAATTAGAATATTGGCATTGTTGGTCGAATCACCCGCTTTTTTCCGTGTTCCAATTGTTTTACTCGTTCAGTTTTTCCCAAGAACTGCCACTTTGTGGAAACTGACTCCAGCATGGAGCTTCCCTAAAAACAATAATCTAGACATCTTCAATCGTCATTTTTCCTCTTCATAATCCTATCCTTAATTTCCTACCAATTTCTTACCCATTTATATCACATACCTTGCCCATTACCATTCTGATTGGAACTCTCTACTTTGAATGGCTCCTGAACCTCGTATTGGGTGAGATTTTAGTATTAAAAATATCGTCAGCTGGTGAAAATCTAGTTTAATAACACAATACATATGAGAGCTCTATTATTAGCTGGCTTAAAATCTTGACTATTTCCCCCTTGATTCTTTATGCATTTCGATCAAACGATATTTCGCAATGCATTCCATTATATGTTTAATAGTCCACTCATGCTTGTAATGCTTGTTTTCATTTCTGACCAATGACAATCATTTATGTTCAATATACGACACAGATACTGAATACCAAAATTCTGGGAACAATTTTTTTTATAAACACTTTTTTTTATAATCCATTGATTAATCGTCATTTTTTCCTCTGGCGTTTTAATTATTGATTTTCTTAGTCCAAAAATTAGGCTAATTAAACCAGGAAATAGTAGAGAACTGGTAAAGTCAAAGGGCCAACATGTTAAAATTCATTTTCTGTGTTTAAATGCGTCCGTGCTGAAATAAAAACGTGATTATTATTTCATTTTTATTGAAGAATTCAAGTGAAATATGAACTGAATTCTGATCTTCCCTAAGCATATTAACACGAAGTGGACATGGGCTTACAGCCATATCACCGGTTCTCATACAAAACCCGAAGTTAAGCAACGTCGACCCTGGTCAGTACCTAGGTGGGTGACCAGTTGGGAATACCAGGTACCGTAAGCTTGGATGTGCGGCTGGTGTAATGGTTAACAGTTCAGAATTTTAAATCGGAGAGCCGAATTCCAGTTCCAGTCGGGGCCTTTGTCTTCACATCCAACTATCCTTAGGAATTTACTTCTTCTTCCCCACTAAAAATATTTACTGGCGGTTTACTAACTCATAAAAGCGTTGATAAACCGTAAAAACAATTCTATCAATCATTCAATGGAAGTGAACACATTTTAACCTCGCTCTCACGCCCTTTTGCTCTCTCTAGCATACGTGCGCACACACAAACACGTATTATATCTAACTAATAGCCCTTGTTTTTATATATATATATATATATATATGTGTGTGTGTGTGTGTGTGTGTACCTCACGAAGAGTTTCATGCACAACGCAATCTTCAGGTGCTAAGTAGACAGTGGCTGTTATGTAAAAATGTATATTTATTAATATATACTTAATAGTACTGTTATATTATATCGAGCACAATTTTATTAACTGTTAAAAGTGCACTATATATATATATATATATATATATATATATATATATATATATATATATATATATATATATATATATATATATATATATATATATATATATATATATCATGAACTGGACTAAATGACAATTATTTTAATATATTTATTGCTTATACGTTATTTTTATAGATACAAATATGCTCTGTTTATAAAAAACAATATTAACAACATTTGCCGGCCTGAATGCCCGAGAAATATTATGTCCTCCGATAGGAATCGAACGTATAATCTACACGGAACCATCATATGGCCTGACGTGCTATGCCATTTATCTACAATGGAAGCGTTTGATTAAAAGCAGTAATTCGACTTGCTAATCAGACGCTTCTTCTGTAGCTAAATGGTATAGCAGAATATAAAAAACGTTTTAGGTCAGACCGGAGTCAGACCAATAGACGGATATTGTAATACAATGCTCAGTATATAATTCCCAAAAAGGGAATGGGAAGAACGGATAATGATATAAAACTTGCAAATATTAAACCCTCAGCACTACCCGGGTTTCAACCTTACGGTCTCATCCAGTGGCTTTTGGTAAATTACCAAAAGAATATCTGATGAGACCGTAAGGTTGAAACCCGGATAGTGTTGAGGGTGAATTTTTTATATATATATATATATATATATATATATATATATATATATATATATATATATTAGAATTTTGAATAAGTTGTCGCTGTTTTCCAACAGATGACGTTCCTAGATCAGCGGGCGTGTAGTTTCAGATGGTAACGCATCTATAAGAAAGTGCTATAAGCAAGATTGAAATTCAGTCCATGTCATTTTGCCGAAGTATAAACAACTTGTTTTTCATAGCGTTAAACATGTCGGATTTCGTGCCAAATAAAGTGTATTTGCAGGGAATTTTATTGCACTACTTTATTTTAAAAAAAAACTGCAGCTGAAGCACACAGAATTCTTGTTGAGTCTTACAGCGACCATGCTCTGTCAGAAACAACATACAGGGATTGGTTTAGACGCTTCAAAAATAATAATTTTGATGTTGAAAATAAATAACGCTTTGTCGCACCGAAAAAGTTTGAAGACGAAGAATTGCAGAATTATTAGGAGTTGATGTCACAACAGTTTCGTTTGAAAGCATTAGGAATGATTGAAAATCAAGGACATTGGGCGCCGTATGAGTTGAAGCCGAGAGACGTCGAATGACGTCTTGTCACGTGTGGACAGCTGCTTCAGCGGCAGAATAGAAAAGTTTTCTTTTTTCATTGTATCGTGACCAACGATGAAAAGTGGATACACTACGATAACCGTAAGCATAGAAGATCAAAATAGACTACCCACAATGCACCACTGACCCGCATATATAAATAACCGAGAGAAAAAACAACACTCGTGGCCTGACGATTGTGTCTAGGATGAAACAGTCTGTCGCCTCTAAGTCTTGACTTCAATATTCACTTTTATATTTACATACGCTCTATCTCTGATATTGAGCACTTTATCCCATAAATATAGCACACCTTAAGAGTATATTTCTTAATATATATATATATATATATATATATAGAGAGAGAGAGAGAGAGAGAGAGAGAGAGAAGAGTAATTTCTAGTTGGTATATCAAAAGATCTCGATTTAAATACAATGGTCTATAGTAACGATGAATGCGCTACTTTGCGACGCTCATGAAAACATAAAGTTGCTTCAGCTGCTCAAGAACAGAGGACGCCGTCTCTGCTTTTTAAGTCAGATTGCGTTGCCATTAACGCTCTTTAGTGTTTTTTGCTTTATCTTTATCGCTTATTTACTTTCGTGTTTTGGTTTAGATTTTCTCCTATTTACTCTTGTAACGGGTGCCCCAAAAGCGTAAATCCGATGCATCAAAAGGCAGTGAAAACATTTACGATTGAGAAGAAAAGGAAATTTAAAATGATTCTAAATGAGTGAAACACCATCGGTCAATCGAAAAAGCGTATGCCTACAGTTGGTCAACGAATGGAACAATTTTAAAGGCTAAAGTAAGAAAAATGGAGCCTGTGAAACTTTCCATGAAAGCGATACGTATTACTCAGCAAGACAGTAGTTTAATTATGGAAGTGAAAAAAAAAAGAATTGTTTGGCAAGATGATTAAAACCAGCGTAATATACCAATTAGCCTTATTTAAATTCCACAGTAGGTTTTTAAATCTTTTTTAATGGAAAGAAAAGAATGCAATGAAAGGACTGCCAGTGCAAATCCTTTAAATGAACTCATCACTAGCCCAAAACCTCCACGGCTACCATTTGCACTATTATAAAGAGCATCGGTCTATAGTAATCAATCCAAAATTTTACTACTTTAATTAAAAATCGGAAACGGAAAACGAAAAAGAATAAACGTAAGTGTGATGGCAAATGTATGCAGATGTAGGCTTTAAGAATACTTTATTCAACTGAGAATACAAGGTTCGTGTATAGTGTCCTTTTATAGCCCCAGTAAACGGAAATATCTCTCTCAAAGAGGGGGAGTAACAAAAGGGAAAACCACTTTGATTATTCATAACAGTAGGTAAATAAATAAAAAAAAAACAAACAAAAAAACAACACGTAAAATAAATTAAACCAAACAAATAAATAAGTAAATAAAGTAAGTAAATATTAAACAAATTAACAAACCATGTACGCATAGATAAACGCAAGAAAATATGGTAATAACAAACAATAATAAAATAATCAATAATAAATTTTAAAAAAAAAGTTAACTGACAGCCCCACCAACTGCATTCGAATCCAGTATTTTCCCCTCAATAGCCCCCAGAAATAGTCAAACCGTTAACGCCCACCAAAATAACAGTGAAAATATTACAATAGACTACCGACAATCCAATAGACTGTCCACAATCCAATACACTGTTCTGTATATATAAATAGTTGAGCAAAAATACAACACACATGGCCTGACGATCGCATTTACCATGAAACAGACTGTCACCTCTGCTGGGTCTTGACTTCAATGTCCGCTTATACACACACACACACACAAACACACACACACACATACATATATATATATATATATATAAACACATATCTGTCCTTGACATTAAGTGCTACCTGGATTCTATCCTCTTGGGAATTTATATTTATATATATATATATATATATATATATATATATATATATATACTAATACACATATATATATATATATATATATATATATAAGAACTCATAAGAATATATATATATATATATATATATATATATATATATATATATATATAAGAACTCGTCGACGAGTTCTTGCCCCCATCGAGTCCATACTTTAAGCAAGCTAGGAAACCGTGACAACTTTGAAGTTGTTGTTTTCTTATTGTCAGCTCTAAAATTTTCAAACACTTTTAAAATCCTGAAAGTCGGAAAGCGTTGTATCCTATCTGACCTGACTTCCACTGATTCATACATTTCCCAGGGAATTCACTCGAAGTTAACACAAACTGCTAAAGCGAGAATTTGAACACATTTTATCGACTCAGTTATCTGAACTGGTGAACGATTCATCACCCGGCATATATATATATATATATATATATATATATATATATATATATATATATATATATATATATATATATATAGATAATATTAGTGGAAAATATACATAGTTGTTTTTTCTGTTTTCATTTTGAATTTGTAGGTCTGATGATTTGGATCGTATTTACGATTCCAATGGAATAAATTATGACCATGGAATATTAGTGTTTAAGCCTTTTATATATATATATATATATATATATATATATATATATATATATATATATATATATATATATATATAAAAATATGATTCCATCGCCACACAGAAATTACTATGTTTCGAAACTTGACTCACAATATTAAACTTAAAATTTAGAGTAAAAAATGCTTTACTCATTTATAGGTTGGAAATGGAAGTATATTCTGATTTTTTGTTTGTTTTTTTTTTTTATCAAGGGGTCACTATTTCTGCATCGAGCATTGTTTTTTTTTTTTTAAATAAAAACGTAAATACTATAGAACTTTGGATCATTACTCTAACTGTTCTTTCCTATTACATCATTATACACACAAATCTATCTATCTATCTATCTATATATATATATATATATATATATATATATATATATATATATATATTCTACGTATAAGGCAACCCTTAAATCTTAAAAAAGTACCCGAAAAATAGCCTCTAATACAATAGTTACCTTAAAACCTGTGGTGTATCTGCACTGGTAGGTAGTCTTGTATGTTTGTGTCATTATTTCTATCATTACATTAGAGTTACGGGTGCGTTCACACCGATCATTATTTCTCATAGTAGTGTTAAACACAACACTTACGATAACATACAATCTATATTTCTAATTAATATACATTATCATTATGGTGTTAAATAAAAAACAACATTTAGACTTTAGAGTATAATATGCAAACTTTATTATTCAATATACATTTTTGAGGTGTTAAGCAACAACATATTTAAGATGCCAT